AGGCAAAAAAAACTATATTCTCCGCCAGGGTCAAAATATAGGCAAAAAAACTATAATGATCGTTTTCGATCCTTTTTTTCAAAGAAATTTTTTTTATGATTTTCATTTGAATTTTTTTTATTTATTACACAAAAATTTTGATTATGCTTTGTAAAAACATATATATATATATATGATATATCCTATTATTTTGAAATTAAGCAGAACCCTTTGACAGCTTGGATGAATTGTTTACATAACCTTCTGCGGTATACTAATCACTGAATAATTTTCAAGGTGACATTATACAAATTCTTTGCTGTCCCCTTGAATTTGAGTTATTTTAATTTCTATATTTTTATCCATGACAATTTTATAATATTTGCTTTTTTCAGACTTTAAGACGTTATAGAGCGGAAAAAGTTATTCTACAATATCCGGAATAATTTCCAGAATCACAAACATTCTTCAAATACATTTACATTATACTTCGCAAGATGATCTTCATGAGAAAATTGTATTTAAATTTTGAACTGGAAATTAGCATAAAAATTAAGAAACTGGGATGGTTCAACATTTATTAGATTTCTGGCTTTTCAAACAGTCGTCGTCGTATTAAAAACAATACATTGAAGACGACTTTCGATTTTAATTTTGACTTTAATCAAGATTTCAAAGAGCACAGATACACAAGTGGAAACAGAGAGAAGCTGTCCATTAACAGCTTTTCTTTGTTTACTTGTAAGTTTTTAATTTGAAATAAAAGCGTTTTATAAATTAAAACTTAAAAAGAAAGTCGTCTTCAATATGTTGATATAAACGCCGACCAATGTACATATCTTTCTGCTAATCGCTGACGAAAACATCCTTAGTTTTCTCGCTAAAACTGAGTGCCATTATTTTTGTTGCACATTAATTTTTTTATGGCTTGTAATTTATTAGGATCATATTTCCCATAGCTTCTAGACTCTATGGGGGCCATAAAAATTACTTAGGATCCGAATACAATCATATCGAATATTTAACAATCATAATTAACCCGTGTCCTTGGTATTTATGTGTCTTCTCTCAATATTGTAAAATTCAAAATCTTAATATTTTGTAAAAATTTATAAATTTTGTTATATAAAATATGAGGAACCTGCATATTTTTGATTACAAAAAAAAGTATGCCGCAGTCTCAGGGAAGAGAAAATGTAATGAAACTTGTATAGATGCTCCTATAGAGATGATCCTATAGAGATGCTCCTACAGAGATGCTCCTATAGAGATGATCCTATAGAGATGCTCCTATAGAGATGCTCCTATAGAGATGCTCCTATAGAGATGCTCCTAGAGAGATGCTCCTAGAGAGATGCTCCTATAGAGATGCTCCTATAGAGATGCTCCTATAGAGATGCTCCTATAGAGATGCTCCTATAGAGATGCTCATATAGAGATGCTCCTATAGAGATGCTCATATAGAGATGCTCCTTTAGAGATGCTCCTAGAAAGATGCTCCTATAGAGATGATCCTATAGAGATTCTCCTATAGAGATGCTCCTATATAGATGCTCCTATAGAGATGCTCCTATAGAGATGCTCCTATAGAGATGCTCCTATAGAGATGCTCATATACAGATGCTCCTATACAGATGCTCCTATAGAGATGCTCATATAGAGATGCTCCTATAGAGATGCTCCTAGAAAGATGCTCCTATATCAAACTAAAGTAAATTCCACGGAAGATTAAAATCCTTTGCGTTGTTGATGATAACTCCTCTTCTTGAAGAGATATTATTGAAAAGCCAAAAATATTTTAATTTCTAATGTTTACTGCAGATATATTTGGTTTTCTCATACTTATGTAAAAAAAACTAAAACTAAAGGAGCTACGAGGTCACAAATATTGATTAGATTTGACCATTCTTCTTCCAGCTAACAGTGGCTAATGCTGAGTTTTCTTTATATTTCTCACATAAGTGCGAAATATTGTAAATAAAGGTTTGAAGATCCGTGTTGTATCTACGTAGCCTATAATACAACAAGCTTCACTGCAATCTTCTTCCCAAAATTGATGTAAATTTAAAATTTTAAATGGAAAGCATGAGTTAAATTAATTTCTGACTTATTAACCGATTTAGTATTGGTGCATTCTATAAAGGAATTAAGTCTTCGCTTCAAACTCCGACTTTCCAATCGCTATAATCTTTGCAACCCAATGTCGTAGATTTTAGTATTTCAATCATATGCATTCTGTTAGATAAAAAAATCAAAGGTTTACACAATCAGATTGCAAAGATATACGGATTAGAAAATTTTAGTTGAGTGGCACTGACTTAATTCCTTTGTATCATTTAAAAGTTTCGAGCTATGATATCATATCTATTACGTGTGAACTGTAGTATCCTGTTAGCCCTGTGTACATTGTATGAATATTGTAGATTTTACTGGTTGCCAAAATCAAATTAATTAGCATAAACTTTAAAAATATATATTTGCAGCATTTCCATATAAACTCTTTAACCAATGTTTCATACAAAAACTATGAAAAAAATTGTAAAAAAAAATGTTGTTCAGCACTAGGTTAACCCATGTTTTTAGATATTTTACATAATAAAATTTTAAAATATATATATCGCTATTGTTTTTATCATCATTGTTTTCATTATTATCATTATCATCATTATTATCATTATTATCATCATTATCATCATTATCATCATTATCATCATTATCATCATTATCATCATCATTATCATCATCATTATCATTATCATCATCATTATTATCATCATTATCATCATCATCATTATTATCATCATAATTATTATCATTATTATTATTATCATTATTATTATTATTAGTATAAGCATTATCCTAATCAGTATTATTTTTACGTTTCTTGTTAATTCTAGATCATTAAATTATCATCTTTATTGATCGTTATAAATTTATCCATTTTTTTCAATTCATCCGACAAATTATTATCTAGAAGCCTGACCACCGTTAATTGGATTTTTGTTGAATCCCTATTTTCCAAAGAAATGTAAATCCTACATTAAATGGATTTTCTTACGAATAGATAGGATTTCCATATAAAGTCCAGAATTATTTATCCGCCATCTTCACCATCAGCACAAGTCGGTTAAAATTTTCCTGGGATTAACCACATGAGTAAGCGTGTTCTTGAATCTCATATAAACTGGAGTGAGTAAATATAACCTGAATCTCTGAAACCTAAAGAAAAAACATTCTTACATCTCAAAAACCTGGAATGAACATTCTTAAATCTCCTCTCTATAAACTTTAAGCATATTCTTGTTAGAGGAGTTGTGAGATTCAGAAAAGGTTTAACCAACGTTATAGATTATTTACTTATACGCGAAATAGTAAAATATCGATTGCAATAATGATTAATCCGAATAATGTGCATTCATACTTTAAGTTCATTCGGACTAACACGCTCATTCGCACTACAGTTTGAATAATTACACGTAATTAGCGAAACTTCTACAAAAGTAATTTCGCGAAGTTTTGCAATAATTACACCTAATTAGCAAAACTTCAATCTGAAAGTATATTTAAATTATCCAATCAGATTGTACATGCATTTGTAGCGCGCATATCCTTATTTTGCCGCTATATATTGTACCATAAAGACTTGATCCCTTTAGTACGGAGTCTGACCTTTTTAGGGAAAATGATACTTTACTTGGATTTAAACGTGGTGTTAAAATAATGAACGAGGATTCGTTTTATATTTAGATTTATTGAGATTTAGGGGGTTTTAAGTTCTTCTAAAATAGGATGGTAGGCTAATTGTTGGCTTGGAGAGGTATGAAAGAGGATAGGAGTGATTTCATTCGATGGGTTGTGTCAGACTGAAGATTTCAACGCTCCGTTCGTCCTTCTCTCTTTATCCAGCCCGGTACGAGTCTAGATATCGTACTTTAGCTCCGGGTCATACTTAGAACTGCTAGATGAGACTTTGTATTTTCTTGAACCCTTTTTGGACCCCTATAGTTTCTCTGTTCTTTGAGATAAAAAAGGGAGGGCTCAAAACATAAATTAAAAATACTATTCATTCAATATCTTAATAAAATACACGATATCTCAAAATAAACAGTTCACAACACTAATAACATTTTATATTTAGTTACACGAGAAAAGAGTCTGAATAGAAAAGGAATAAACAAAGGACAACAAGGATATATATCTACAAGGAAGAATCATGAAGATCCGAAGAACTATTAGATCAGGAATGAAAGATAGGAGAAAGGAGGAATGATAGATCTAGTATAATCAAGAATGGACGAAGGTATAGCAATCTACTTTCCGTCACAATACAGTTGGAGTACAGTAATCTGAAGTCATGCTATCACGCCCAAATCTATCAATCAATAATATTTTTTAATTTAAGATAAAAACAAGCTCGTTGTTAACATGTAGAATTCTTCATGTCTAGGGGTACAAAACAAGTATTAGAGTTAGTAATGTAAACATAAAGGCCTAGGGGGTTGGACACTTCTAAGTTGACCCGGTCTAGAAAATTAATGCTAAATTTGAATCTCTGTTGGAGGAATCATAAATTAATAAATTTCATTTCATTTATGCATCCAAGCATTTGTTTTCATTATTTTAAACCATTATTTCAGAAAGACCTACTCCCTCGCCTACCATTGTAACTGTGCTCAACTCTAAGGAAAATCAAGAAATAAAAAGTTTAATTTTTAAAATCATTAATTGAATTTACTTAAAGACAATTTCTGTCTTTGTGTCAGTAATCTAATGAACATCAAAACAACAACAAAAAATCTTTACTTTATAATTTATTAAAACAAAATGTGAAATTTGCGACATTTTCAGTGACATTGAAATATTATTTTTCTTTAGACTAACAAGTTTTATAAACATTAATTCATTCTTATAATTATGATTCAATAATAATTTATAGTTGATCTCTGTAATTGATCTTCTGAATGATTTATTAATTGATTAATTGATCCAGTATGAAAGTGTTCCAGTAGGACTTAGCCAGGATATTCCAGAAGTCTTTCTTTGACAGGTTTTACAGGTAAAAACGGGTTATATTTTGGTTGGTTATATTTTTGTTGGTTATATTTTTTGAATTGTTATATTTTTGGTTGGTTATTTATTTGGTATGTTATATTTTTGGTTAGTTATCTTTTAGTTGGTTTTACAATTGGTTGGTTAAATTGTTGGTTGTTTATATTTTGGTAGGTTATATTTGGTTGGTTCTATTTTTGGTTGGTTATATTTTTGATTGCTTACAATTTTGGTTGGTTTTACTTTTGTGCAAAAACATTTATATATTTGTCAGTTATAATACTGGAGGGTATATGTGTTCGGTGTATTTTTATTAGTTTTATATTTATTTACCTGTTCCCGTCCGGCGACCATATTGTTTTACTATTACAGTTAGCTCAGAGCTGGGAACACTTGTATTGTGAATCTCGAGATCAATTCTTGATCTCGAGATCAATGCTTGATCTTGATCTTTTGTTTATCGGCAAATTGATTTAATCTTCATGTCCTGTAAGGTTATCATACCCTGCAGGGACAACTGGAAATGAAGAGATTAAACATTGATCCTCTTTAAAGTTCTTTGTATTCTTTTATATGTATACAAGTTCAACACATATAAATATATTAATATTTTTAAAGAAATTGAGTCTTTGCCACAAACTCTGATTTTCTAATTAAATTTTTACAACCCAATGTCATAGACCTAAGATTATTTCAAACTATGAATTCTGTTAACTTGAATAATCTAAGTTTAACTATCAAAGGTCTACATCATTAGGTTGCAAAGATATAAGGATTAGAGCATTTTAGTGTGTTGCAAAGATTAAATTCCTTTTAATGAATTTGCAATTTTCATTTAGGACTCGGATGAGATCTATATATAAGGCTGTGACCCCCCTCCCCTTCACCTTCATTCTGCTGTGACCTCTTCCACCCCTTCATCTTTCATGTTTCTTCTGATAGCTTTAAGACAGAGGTATTGATGTGAGTTGGATCGTTTTGCCTATATTCTCCGCCAGGGTCAAAATATAGGCAAAAAAAACTATATTCTCCGCCAGGGTCAAAATATAGGCAAAAAAAACTGTATTCTCCGCCAGGGTCAAAATATAGGCAAAA